TGGTATATATTTCTATGAATTTTAACACATATATAGACTCATTTAGCTGCCACCACAAATAAGATACAGAATAGTTTCATCTCCCTGATGCTGTCCCTTTATAGAGTCACATCCTCTCCTAACCCATAACCCCTGGCAACCACTGAAAACCACAGTTTCCCATCACTACAGTTTTGTCTTTTTGAGAACTCCCTTTACTTTTGCTATTCCCTTTCCTTAAAATTTTAATGGCAATATCTGCATGTTTATATGTGGGTGCAAAGAACTCCAGATCCAATGCCAGCAGACTTCCTCCTCTATTATTATTGTTATTTGCTGTTACTAACATTTATTAGCATCTATTATGTACCAGGCATTTGTACTAAGCTTTTTACATACATTATCTCATTTTAATCTTATAATAGCCTTATGATATATGTATGCTATTGTTATTTCCATTATACAAAAATGGAAATTGATGGTCAGAGAGGTTAAGTGACTTGCCTAAGGCCTCACAGCTAACAAATAATTGAATCCCAGCACAGACCCTGCTCCATTTGACCACAATCTTTAAACACTACAGTAAGGAATTAAAGGGAGGGAGTTGTAACTAGCAAGGAGGTATGTCAAGAGATTTTGGGGGCAGAGCCAATATGGGGCCATGTGATCATTCCAAAGGTTTGCAAATGTGTGTGAAGCTGGAGAGCCATCTCCATCTCCTGAATTCTCAGCCCCAGTCCCTGCCTTTGTCTCTCTCCATCTGCCCCATGTGGTCCCCGCTGACCCAGGTGGCACCTGCCTGATGTTTGTGATGTTTGTAGGGGCTTGGGATGGTTTCAGTCCCTTTGCAAATGTAGCAAAAACCACTGTCTGTGTCACGGCTTTGCTGCCGGACACAGCAGCTGAGACTCAGAAATGGGGGCTGGTTTCCTTCTGGTTTCTACCAGCCCCAATTCCCCCATGTGTTCTCTGACCTCATTTTCCCCCTCGGTTGCTTGCAACACCAGCTGAAAAAGTTTCTGGGAGACAGTCACCTGGTCTGTGTGCTGGAGGTGGCAGGTGTGTTCTCGCTGAGGTAGGGCAAGTGAGACAGGAATGTGTGTGGTTGGCATGCTGCTCAACAAAGAAGGGAGAAAGTCCGGCCCTGCCAGACCCAGGGCGGCAACCGTTGTGTTGTGGGTAGTGGGAAGCAGGGGAAAGGAAAGATGGAAATTAATGAAGAATGGGTGATGCTGGGAAGTGGACCAGGGTCTTGCCCTGCATATGGTGTTCCTTTGAGCTTGCTGTTTGCAGAAGTGATGTTAGCTGGCAAGTGTCCTCCTAGAATCAACTCCTAGCTCCTAAAGGGTCTTGGAAGAGAGCTGGCAAGTCAGCACATGCGGGAAGAATCAAACACCTGATTCATGGCCATGGATCATTTGGAGACAAAACAAGCCAGAAGTCAGGGTACCAAGAACCATCTCCGGAAGACACCTAGTTAACACTTAAGGGGTGAAAGAGGGCGTGTAATTTAGAGTGGAAAGTGTTGAGTCACTTCAATAACAACAGGTTACACTTATGGAGCACTTAATCTGAGCCAGTCACTGTGCTAAGAGCTAAGTGACATGAATCATCTCATTTATTTCTCACAACAACACTCTGAAGCAGGTATTACTATTACCTCCAATTTACAGATGGAGAATTGGAGGCCCTGAGGTTTATGTGACTCACTGAAATTATACTATTGAGGAGAAGAAGCAAGATTTGAATACTGGTATTTTCAAACCTAAGCTTGCAAACACTTCACTTCATCGCCTTCTTGCCCATCTTAATTCAGAAATACTATTAAAGGGTATCAGAGTGAGGAGGAAGAGACATCAGCTACTCAGGATCCCAAAATCTTCTCAAAGGCTTGCAAAGGACCTTGATGGCAGCCTGGGAAGGAATAGGAACCAATGGGGTTTCCAGTCACGGGCCTGCCAGGAGTCTGTTGATCTTACCTGCTGGTCTGAAATAATTGCATGCTGTAGAAACCTACAGCCATTTCTCAAGTTTCCTTTTTACACAATAGGCTTGGGAGGGTTTCAGACAGGTAGGCACAATGGGCCGTTTTTTCTGTCTTGGGCTGGCACCGTGAAGTGGGACTGCTGGTTCCACCCTCGCATGCTGGCTGGCACAAGGAGCACCACACCAAAAGATCTTGATGAGCTTGTTCATCAGAGGAGCCTATGTTCACTAGAGTGAGCAGGGAAGACTTTGGACTTGAGAGCTCACGGAGAGGAAGTGAAACTTGCTCCTTCAGAGTACTGGCTGACATGAGGGCTTCTGGAAGAGGTGTTTTACAAAGTGGTACCCTGTGACAACAGGTCATTTATGTCCCCGTAGAGGAGGCACTTTATACTTAGTATCACCCTGGTCTGGACTCATCATGGACTCAACTTCAATAACAACACTTACGATGCTCTCCAGCAAGGGCTATCACTCCTTCTGTGTTTTGTAGAATGCCTCATGCACAGCAGGGCACAATAGACAGTCAATAATAATGTTTACTATGATAACGATCTTCCAAATGCCTTTCATCTAAGGATCTCAAAGTGCTTGGTACACACTAATTAGTTAGGTCTAGGGATAGCTCTCTGTTTTTACAATGCATTTTCCTATTTTACAGAAATTTAAATTGAGACCCAGCAAACTTAAGTGGCTTGCCCTGAAGTCATACAGCAAGTTTAAATTAATGATAAAAACGATGCTTTGCATTTCATGTCATGCATATGCATTCCATAACGAATGTTTTCTAAGGTGATCTGAGTATGTGGAAGCAGGTGGGTAGTGAGTGTTATTAATTGCTGAGACTAGATTGGGTAAACTGAGGCCAGAGGGTGAGTCTCCTGGGTGAGGATGCAAGCCCACTCTGCTGACTCTCAGAACAGAGTGGGGCAGCCCCGGCCATCCTCAGGTCTCTGAACTGAGGGAGGCAAGGCTCTTCTCACACATACAGGAAAGAAAGCTGTATTTTGGGAGAACAGGTTGCAGAATGACAGCCATCGTTACATCCAGGAATGAGTCTGTTCATGTCCCTACTGAGAGAGGCTACAGGGATGAGGTGTGGCAAAGGTAGGAAAGGCAGGCTCAAGAAAACGAAGAAAAGGCGCGGATGGGGTGGCTGCCAGCCCTGCTCACTGGCATCCTTAGGAAACCAGGTCCTTGCTGAAAGGGCTTGGTTCCTTGTTTCAGCCTCACGGGCAGGACTTGGTCTGGTGAGACGCGGGGGAGGGGCTGTCACTGGCCCCTTGCTCCGATGTTACAAGTCCCTGTGAAAGAGTTCCAGGGACATGCAGTATCTTAGCGGCTGTCTCTTACGTAGGACCAGCCCTGATCCCCACAACTCCCTCTGCCAGGAGGGGCCTGGAATCCTCTAGGGCACAACAACTTGGCAGCTGTGGATCCGTCCGTTGCTACCTTTTCTTAGCAATATAGCCACACGGAAAAAGACAAAAACATGAACAAACACATTCAGCGGCGATAAGGGACCTGCCTCCTCCCAGTCTGGCAACATGTTCTTAGTGAGTAATGACGTTCTGCCAAGAGGCAAGTCCGACTCTGCAGCGTGGGGGAGGGGAGAGGTTGCTGCGTCTTAGGAATTCAAAGGGAGTTTTGCCGCTGGAGATAGAGCCCATCCTCTATGAGATTCTCCATAAACCACCCCCCACCCCGCCTTTCCCAAGCCCGTGGATTCTAGGCCTAGTGGGGAGCCTCCGAGAAGGGTGCCAGGCCCTCTTCTGGAATGTGTTTCACACACACAGGCACAGTGGCGATGAAAAGTCTGCAGTGATGAATTCAAGCCAATGCCCGCTTCTTCCCGCTCACACTTTTGAATGTTCCCACACTCTCCTACTGCCTGGGGGCTTGAAGGCAGCGAAGCAAAGGAGGGGTGAGCTGTTACAAGAAATAGTTTAGAAAACTGTTTGAATGCACAGCACTAGCCTGGCTCTCGGCTGGGGAGGAATCGGGAAGACACTCCCTCCCACTGCTACTCTTCCCCACGGGGAGTCCTGGGACTCTGCGGCCAGAATGAAAGCTCGCTTTAGGTAAGACATCACAGCACGCAGCTTTGACTTTCTAAGTATGCCAGCGACTCAGGCCACAACTTGCCAAGTCCACTCTGGCGCACTGACTGCTGGGGTGACAGTGCAAATTGTCCTGCTCGACTGGCAAGGACCACATCCTTCTCGAGAGATGTGCCCCTAGCACAGCTTCCCCCAACAAGGCTCCCAGCCAGGTCGCACAAAGTCCCCGGGATGCGCCTGCCCGGCTGGACAGAGCGATCGCACTGTCCAAACACCAAAAGCATCCTTGGGTCATGTCCTGCACGGCTCTCCTGGCTCCGTTTGCTTTTATACTGCAGCCACTGACGTGCGTTTTATGTGTTTTGTTCATTTTGTAAAGTAAGACACATCCATTGTACGCCCCAGCCTTCCTGTCAGCCAGTCCACCCACACAGACGCTCCCTCCTGCACCACCTCCGGGCGGCAAGAGTCTTGATAGCTTTGAATGGATTGTGAATGAACACTGTCATAATAGCACTTTATGGCCGGGTGGGGGTGGGGCCGGAAAGATGGATTTGGGTAGCATGCAAACAGAACCTGACATTTGGAAACTTCTCAGAGATTCCCCAAAGCAACAAGCAGTTGGATTTGTTTTCCCCTCTCTTTCCCATCCTTCGTGCCTTTTCCAGGCACTGGGTTGGCCTCAGGACAGAAGTGAAAGACCAACAATATAATCAAGGAGGCTTTCCTTATTCTACTACCCTCTGCCCAAGGAACTGGGAAGCTTTCACAATTCTAAGAATCACAGGAAGGATTAGATAGGTCAGGATCCCACCAAATTTCAGTCGAAGGATCACTGCCCACAGAAACTTATGTCTCAGGAATCCTGGCGGCACCGCTTTTAAAACGTAACTGAAAGCGATAAACCCTAACTGCTGGCACACACAAAACCAACCTCTAGGTGGACATGAAATGAACAAAGGAGATCTTCCTTACCCCATCCATGTGGATTCTGATGTTGGGCACGAGTCGGAACGGGCTGGCCTGCAGACCTCTGGGGTGAGTCCTGCTCTTCTTGCCGTCCTGCAAGGCCAGCACGCCAGGCCTGCGGAAGGAGCCCCCTCTCCCAGAGCTCGGCCCCGAGCGCACGCCGTCCAGAAGGCGCACGAGCAGCAGGTTGGCGGGCAGCGCCTCGATGCTGCCAAACACCAGGGTTCTGCATTCGGGGCAGCGCAGCCCCTTGTGGGCCTTGGAGATCCTCTGGAGACATGGTTTGCAGAAGGTGTGCTGGCAAGGGAGGACTTTGGCTGTGACATCGAGCTTTTCCAAGCACACGGGGCACTCCAGGAGATCAAGTAACGTCAAATCATCCATCTTATTTTAAAACTCTAGTCCTGACCCGGAGGGGCAGAGTCCACATGGTAGGGTCAGCCGAGCCAGGGGAACAGAGACGAGCTCTTGAGAGCGTCCAAACTCCTGCCTGTTTGAGGGAGAGAGGAAGAGAGGAGAAATGTGAGTGCTCAGAGAGAGAGAGGTTCCACCTACATGGAGGCAGTGTCTCACCAGGCAGTTTGCGAGCACTTTGTGCCAGCACCCAAGTTTCAGTGACTCATTCTGATTCAGTGCTGGCAGGTACAAGACTGACTCCTGCTGCTGGAGAATCCGAGGGAGCATTCAGCTCAGTGACAACTTACTCACTGCCTCCCATGTGCAAGGCAAGAGCACGGAGACAACACTGGCCTAGGAAGTGGCACCCCCATGCCCTCTCCCAGCCAGGCTCGAAGGGGGTCCTTTACCCCTCCAGACGGGCAGTCTCAGCTGTCATTCAGAGCACCCTCAGAATGCAGTGTGTGTGGAGCTGCTACTATCTCCCTGTCCTCCCTCCCCGAGGTTTAAGTGTATCATCTGCAGCACATGCAGGTAAGTGAAGGTTACGTGGATACGTTCATCTGAAGCTCATGCAGATGCAGAAATATTTCCTTCACAGTGCATCTCCCCCCTGCACTTTGTTCTAGCAAAGGTACAAGAAAAGTGACTAGAAACCGGTTTTCAAAGACAGAGACCATAGCCTCAGAGGCAGTATTCCGCCCACAAGATAAAGTCAAGCAGCCTGTTTAGTTACTTTGACAGTTGTTCTCAGTTTCAACTGAAGCAGATAGCAATTCTGGATTGCGTAAATAACAAGACGGAGCAGAGTATACAGGTGTGTGTGTGTTTTCCAGAAAGTTTCCTTTAGAAAAGCCTCCTGGGAATAGGTCAGCCGACCCTCACAGTTGCTGTTGCGGTTGCTGAGGCTTGGGTGAAGGCAGCAGCCGGGAGGTTGGGCAGGAGGGCGGGGGTGGGGGTGGGGTGGGGGCCGCTCTAGGAAGCAGAGCAGACCTGACACACCAGGATGAGAGATGGCGCCTCGCCTTCCCAGACAATTCTCCAAAGATGTCAGCGCTGGGGAGGTGTGCGGCAGCCACTAACCTTGAGCTTGTAACCCCAGCTGAGTTTAGCTCAGCTGGATCCTGATCCTCGGTCTGCTCTGTCAGGCTCCCTCCAACTCGCTTTTCCCGGAGCCAGGAGCCACGCTGCCAGCCGCTGCCTCTGCTTTGAAAACTTTAACAACTCTGAGTCTTACTCATATCAAGGGATCGCCTTGCCCAGCCCAGTTAACCCTTTCACCGCTGGGCGGCCGGCAGCAGGTTTTCTTTGAGTTCGCTCTCTGCCACTGATCCTTCCTTTCTGTAACTGAGTCAATTTCTGGGAAAAGATTCTAAGGGGCAAAGTCTAGATCAGCCCCGAAGGCCGAGTATTTACAGTTTATGTTTTCACCTTTCTCAGTTTCTCTCCTGTCCAAGAAGTGGAAACACGTTCAGTTATAAACACGAGAAGGTGATTGTGCTTATTTAAAACCTTTATAAGAAGTTCTTGAAAAGGCCAAACATATGGATGGTAGCTTTCATAACAGAGATAAGCCGGACACCCAAAAAGTACTGCTTCTTAATAATTGTAGCCAGTTCTTGAATTTAGAGATTTGAGAGGGACTTCCGTGATCTTTTTGTTCAATCTCTTTAAATTAAAAAAAAAAAAAAAAAGCGTCGTGGTAGTACATACACATCCTTCAAAAATCAAAGCACAATTGGGTTTTAAAAAAGCAAAAGCAATGGTCCCAGCTCTCCCTCGACCCCCTAGAGACTTTTCATAGCCCAAATAATGCTTATACTTTTATTTTTTGATTTATCAATGACATTGTTTCATGTAAAATTAAAGTTATTTCATAAAGTAAATAATAATAACATTACTCAAAACTAGAGTAGTCCTTACCTGTGCCGAGCACTGCTCTAAATATTTCACTTCTATCAACTCATTTCATCCTTTTAACAACTCGATGATACACTACTCTCTTCTTTACCCTCTTTTACAGAGGGCAAAACTAAGACACAGAGAGAATAAACAGCTCATCCCAGGAGTCGCAGCTAGCAGGAGGCAGGTGGTCTGCACTCTTAACTGCGATGTCGCATGGTGATACAGCTTTAAGGGGAGGAGAGATATTTGAAGGGAGCTAACCTTCCTCTGCTATGTCAGGAAGTCAAAAGATAATCATCCAAATTGACCAGTCAACGCCTTTTGCAGAGGAAGCAGCCTCACTCAGAGAGATCAAGAGATTCCTTGAAGTTGCCCAGTGAGTTAAGGGCAGAACCTGGACTAAAAACTGGGTGTTGCTTTTTCCTGGTCTTCTCTCTCAACACAGGCCGGCCTATCTTTATGATGCAGAAAGCAGATACAACTCCTTGGGCAAATCTTAAGAGGGGAACAGGAGGCCAGAGAACAGATTGTAGTGGTTCACATTTTTCAAAGTTCTTCCAAATCAGTTTTGAAAAAGGAAATATAAATGAAGCTCAAGATAGGGGAGAGCTTCAGGTTGGAGCAAATTAGAGGCCTAATTTGGATACGTGTCAATTTTAGAGACCATTTTTAACTCCTTTAAAAAAAAAAATCTCCTTTTATAGAGGGTTTTTTTGAGCTTCAACATTCTCTCATCTCTCCACTTTTATAGATCCTGTGCACATCAGGAAGCCTCTGGCAGGCTGAGGCCCTTTGCTGTTCCTCCTCATTTCCCACTGGGCAAAGCTGAGCTCTTTTCTCTGGGGGCTGCCCCCCCCCCCGCCCCCTCTCCCCCCACACAGGTCTGCTCTGGTGCCTGAACTGCTGTGGGCACAGGTGGGCAACATTCTCCCTCCTTTCCTCTCTTGTTCTTAAACACACTCCCTTAGATGCCCAAATCTGCACCTACATGCACATGCACACGTATGCTTGCACAGGGACAAGCACACACATAACCCTAACAGTAACTTTTGTGTGGCACTTGCTGTATGCCATGGACCAGTGCCAGGACTTCAAACAGATTATCTCTACATCTTCCCAACCGCCCCATAAGATAGGTCCCGTGACTTTCCTAGGGTTACAGAGCTTGTGATCTGAACCCAGGTGGGTCCAATCCCAGGACCTGTATTGCTTCCCATGATTGCTTCCCATGTTATAAAGTCATGAACATGCCCTAAGCATATCCATATACCTGTGCTGTATAAATGCACACACATTTATACCTATGTCCATAGCGTACACACCAGCTGATCACAGGGCCAGCCCCAAACGAAGGGATGACATCAAAGGAACTTGGGCTCCTTTGACAGTCACTCTCTGGACCCTGCCCAGTCTCCTGGCCCCTCCATGCTCTCTGTGGTTAGTGGTCTGAAAGAGCTTCAAAACCTCCCATCCCTGAGAAAACAGAAACAACGCATTCTGTCCCAGGAAGGCAGGATGGACCCAGGGCGCTGCTCTGGGCTAGCATACTTGGTAACTGAAGGAAGATTCGGCAGAACAGAGTCGTGATGGTAGCATCTTAGGCACCACTGGAGGAGAGAGTTTACACCGAACAGGAGTGGTCTTCCAGCACTTCGCAGATCACACCTTGTGGGTGGTCCCCAACACCACCCACATGTGAGGTTCGTCTTGGTGGAAATTTGAGAAATTTTCTTTTGAAGCTTCTGAAGAAGGGGGCGTGTTTTAAATGGGGATTTTATCCTGGCTTATCCAAATGCTTCCTTGGCGTCAAATCAGATGAACATTAGTCCTCAGAAACAAACAGGCGACTTACGCATGCCTTCCCAGACTCCAGCTCGGTCCACCACCCCGCTGCTCCCACCCCATCAACACTCCTGTTTATATTTGCACTGTTATGTAGTGATTACACACTGTGCTTAAAAAAAAAATACGTGTGTGACGTTTATGAGCTTCTGCTGCTTGTATTTACAGATGTATCTTGATTTATGTTTTTTAAAAAAGGCAAAGCTGATCCTATTGTTCCCCTTCTGTGGGTTCCCATTGACCATAGGATAACATCTAGATCCTTCTTCTCACCTAACAGGCCTACCTCTCCTGCCTTCACTTACCCCACATCTCCCTGCTACTCACCCACTCACTCCAGTTCCACTGGCTTGCTCTCTTTACTCAGGGCCGTTTATGCTTCTCTGGCACAGGGTTTTTGTTTATGTTTTTCTTTCTGTGTGCAATATACTTTCCAGTTATACTCTTTCTCCTCCTCTCTTCTGGGCACTCCCCTCACCACACCTTCATTTTCTTCATCCCCTCCCCTCCAAATTTTAGCTTAAATGCCACTTTCTCAGGGAAGCTTTTCTTTTTTAAAATTTATTTTTACTGATTTCAGAGAGGAAGGGAGAGGGAGAGATAGAAACATCCGTGATGAGAGAGAATCATTGATTGGCTGCCTCCTGCACACCCCCGCCCCCCCCCCCCGCCCCCGCCTCCCACTGGGGATTGAGCCTGCTACCCGGGCATGAGCCCTGACTGGGAATCGAAACATGACCTCCTGGTTTATAGGTTGACACTCAACCACTGCGCCACGCCAGTTGAGCAGGGAAGCCTTTCTTGATTCTCATGACTAGTTTATAATCCAACCCTTCTCCTTCATAACAGGTGTCACAATTGTAATTCAGTAACTAAGTTATAGTAATTTATTTAATGCTTGGCTTCCCCCAAACAGACTGTAAGCTCTAAGAGAGCAAGGCTCTCATGTGTCTTGCCACTGCTCTGTCCCTCATAGTTACCACAGTGACTGGCAGGCAGTGATGCTTAATCAATGATTTTGAATTGGTTTATAAATGAATAAATTGTGTTCTTACAAAATTGTATCCGGGCAGATGTGCATCAGTAAATGGAACACTAGTTTAATTTGCTGCAATTTGAAGGCAGAAAGTAAATGCACACTTAATTAAAATAGTAAAATGCCATTGAATTCTAGTTAAATTCTACTACCTGCTTAGACCTGAACTCGAGGCCTAAGCAATTTGTTACAAAGGGATGGTTAGCAAATGTTAGAAGGGCATTAAAGACTAGTCCTAAGAT